AGCTGCTCTTTTTCAAGGACAGCTGTGCCAGAGCTTGTGACTGACCCAAGGTCACATCGGCAGGTGCAAGTGGAGGAGTGGGGAATCAAACCCGGTTCTCCCAGATTAGAGTCCGCGCACTTAACCACTACACCAAACTGGCTCTCGGAAACCAAGGTGTCAAGTATTTAGCATATTGGCGTCTTCTTCCTCTCTTTGTTCTGACTAAGGAAGAAGACGCCGGCCATTCCCGTTTTACCTTTTAGCTGTAAGGGTGCAGCCATATTAGCTCTTTGTTATTTTCATATCCTGTGTACCTTTTCCCCATGTTAGGTTTATAGTAAACTTTTATATTTTAAACACACCATGGACTCAGTCTCTTAATACTCTGCCGACTTACTCTAAAAGAATCCCAACACACACACACACACACACCTCACCAAAAATAGTCAAATAAAATGAATAGGAGCTGGGCAGGGTGAAGAATGTGCGAGGAGAGCCAGGCTGGACGGAGGAAGAATGGCTCCACAGGGAAGAGGACGAGGAGGATCAGAACCAAGGGTGGCCAATCACAATGGAGGACAGAACTTCTGTGTTGGCAAGGTACGGCAAGAGAATGCACCAGAGGATGCCAAGGGAACGTGCAAAATGGGGGCGGAGGTAGGGCTGCCAACCTCCAGGTGGGGCCTGGGGATCCCCTGGAATTGCAGCTCATCTCCAGACGACAGAGATCAGTTCCCCTGGAGAAAATGGCTGCCTCGGAGGGTGGGCTCTGTGGCATCACATCCCGGCTAAGGTCTCTTCCCTCCCCAAACCCTGTCTTTCCCAGGTTCCACCCCCCCCCCATTGTCCAGGAATTTCCCAACCCGCGTTGACGATCCTAGGCAGAGGGTTTAGCAGAGTTCCGCCAGGGTCTTGGCAGGATAGAATGGGGAGGGGAGTGTAGGGGAACATCACACACATCTCTCCTCTCCTAGTGCTGAGACAAATGGCTGCTGGTGAAATCCCTCCTTAATCACAACTATGAAAGGTCCACAACTTGGCTTTGCTCCTAAAAGGCAGGGCTATTTTTGGGCAGGAACGCACAGGAACGGAGTTCCGGCTGGCTCCCAAGTTGGCCACGCCCAGCAGGAACTCATTAGCATAACAGGCCACACCCAACAGCAGGAGCTCATTAGGATTGGCTACATTAGGGGTGTGTGGCCTGCTACAAAAAGCGCCCTGGGTTTTGACAACAAACAAGCTAAACAGAATAAGAAGCAAAAGGTGGGTGTGGCTGGATGAGCCAACCTCTGGTCATGTGCGGTGTGGCCCAA